GGCACCCCTAAATGATTTAAGGATGGAGAGGGCAAAGTTCCCTCAGCCACGCAGCTACAGGCAGCCCCCGGGTTACATGGATCCGACTTACATCGGATCCCTGCTTACAAACGGGGTGAGGCAACCCCGCACTAGCTGCTTCCCCCCAGCAGACCAGGGAGACGCGAAGCTAGCGCCTCCCCCAGCAGACTAGGGAGACCCGGAGCGGCTTTTCTCAGCAGACACCTCAGCTTGAGAATAAAGGACTGAGGGAAGTGAGGTGTGGGAGAATAAAACTGAGCTCTGGAGAAATGTTTGGCTAGAGTTTCCCCTACAATATGTACCAGTTCCAGTTTACATACAAATTCAACTTAAGAACAAACCTACAGTCCCTATCTTGTACGTAACCCGGGGACTGCCTGTACTCAGCCGCACAGCTAATGTTCTGATCCCTGCACAGATGTTCAAAGCTTCCCGCGCAGGCAGAGATCAGCTGCTGGGTGAGGACTGGGTCTTCATAAACAGCAGCTAAATGCTTGAAAGGGAAGACAATCAGCAGAGATAAGCAGGGAATGAATGGCTGGGAGGAGGAAGGGAGTAATTAAATAGCTTGGGGGAAGTTCCGGGAGGGAGGGAGGGGGGAGGGAGAAACCCAGCAGTTTTCAATCCTTCTGGGCTCGGAAGGGGGAGGTATATATGGTGTGTGTTTTGTTTGTATTAGTGGTGTACATCGACACACTACCTCAATATTAGTGGCAACCCTGTAGTACCTCCTCCATCCCTGATGCCACTTGGTATATTCAGTCATCTAGTAGGAGTAGGTTATCCCTCCTGCAATTCTTAGCTGGATCAAGAGGGTCTTGTAACAGGATCTGTATTTCCTTTTGAGCTACAAAGGCCTTCCTAGTTTTTATTTTAAAAGTTTCCATGGCTTCTTTCCATAGTCATTGAAAAGTCTCCCTCCTCAAGTGGTAACCAGCCTCTTCTTTGCCTGGGGATTGATTTTCCACAGCCTCAGGCAGGGCTGATGCTGTGACACAGTTAGAACTCATTGCTCTTACTATAAATCCCGTCCCCCAAACAACCTCCAACAACAGCTACTTAAGGAAATCTCTCTCAAAGAAAGCGCTCAGACCAGAGATCTTCTGATCTAGAATGGCAGCAAGAACACTAGGGAGAATGCATGCATGGCTTTTGTCAGTATGTGGAAGAAGCAAATGCATGGATTGCCAGAGAGGCTTTACTTGTTTATAGTAGTTTTAAATGCACACTTTCTGTTTCTTCTACCAGGCTTGAGGGTTGTATTGATTTATACTTCCAAAAAGTAAGACATTTACACTTATAGGTGGACTTGCTTTCCCACCCTCTCCTTTCCCGCTGCCTCTCATGCTTCCCCTTTCACGAACTCATCTGGAAGAGCATAAAGCCTGCATATTGATTTCAAAATACACCTTCTCAAGATCACCTCTAATTCTATTAACTCACAGACATTTCCCCTTCCCCACCTCTAATATCATTAACTCACTGGCATTCACCTTCCTTTCCCCCTCCCTAAATCCCCCTTCTGTTCTGTAATGTGATTTGTCCTTTTCATGTGTGTTCATTTTTTTAATTGCATCCTTTGGTATATATGGTTGTGACTATTTTCTTCCACTATTTGATCTGAGGAAGTGGGTCTGGCCCACGAAAGCTCATCATCTAATAAACCATCTTGTTAGTCTTTAAAGTGCTACATAGTCCTGTATTTTGTTTCAAAAGAAGAACTAATTCGGAGCTTTTTCTTCTATGAGCTCTGGGTCCACGTCCAAAAAACTTGCCCTTGCTCTTAGGAAGATAAATCTGAGGAGCCCACATAGTTTCTGGACTCTTCCTTGTCAGTTTTACAGCCTTTGCACTGGAAAAGTTTACATTATGGTGAACTGGAGAAGAGCAGGAAGAGAGTCCTGCATCTCTTGTTCTTTATTTCACTAGAACAGTGTTTCCCAAATGGTGTTCCGCGGAACCCCGGGGTTTCATGAAGTGAAAATAAGGGTTCCGCAAGAAAAATCCATTACAGTAACATTTATGATTTTAAAAAATAATTAATATTTAAGCATTTATGAATTTTATTGAAAACAATTTTCATTTTTGTTTGCCACGATATGTGTCCCTGTGGAATGCCAGCTTAGCCAGAGAGTGGAGACAATGATGTCACTACTCAGCGCTGCATACGTGATCAGTCAGTGGTGCGATTACCTGTTAAATACCACCATAAATCCCCGTACTCACTCTCAGGGAGTGTGGATCACGTGGGTGACTGAATACGATTATACTAGCGCCGTGTCGGACAAAGTCGAAGCTTCAGCTGTCAAACCAGTTGCCTGTATAGGAGTGTGCAGGCGGTGCTCTCACAAATACTTTATTTCAGGATAGTCATGTGATGTCTTGTATTTAAAAATTTAACTGTGACAAATATAAATTGACTATGATAGATGACTCTACATCTCTTTATTTATTATTATCCTTACTTATTGGTGGCCTACGTTTTCAGCACCCTATACCAGACTGTTATTAGGGGTTCCGCAAAACTCTTTTGAGTTTAAAAGGGTTCCATGGCCAAATAAAATTGGGAAACACTGCACTAGAAAAAACTTAGTAAGTGGAGTTCCATTAGCCCAGCAGATGTGACATAATTGACAGGGTCCCCATGCTAAATTCAGAGTTAAAAATAGATTACCCTGCTTGCTTTAAATAAACACAAACAATGTCTGGGAAACCCACAACTGCACTCCATGAATGGAAGACACTCGAGGGGTTAGGGAATACGCCTCGGACAAGGAAGACAAGGGTTTAATTCCCTCTTGCACTGAAATTCCTATGATACCTTTGGCAAATCATTTAGACACTGCCCTTATGTGATGTCTAGATGCTGGAAAGGAAGACAATGTTGAATGCTTACTATTATCTATAAACATAATACTTTACCTTGTACAATCTCTTCTGGCTGATAGAAAGAAGCTCTTTCCTTTCCCTCTACCAAACCCAAGAGAGTTAGGAGGTTTTTTTGAGGGGAAGGTGAGCAATGCAGCTCTAAATCCTGTCTTTATTAATAAACTTTTTCCAAACTGAAACCAGAAATTAACATGATTCATGTAAGTTTCAGGTGTTCTGAGTAACAACAGCAAAACTGAGTAGGGGCTTATTAATTCCATTCTATTGCTTCTTGGAAAAAGGGCATTGTACTGATCTATGGATTAACGAAGACAGCATTGCACTGGTTCATAGTCAGAAGCAATTCTTTACCAACCATAAAGAACATAAAAAAATTCCTTAAAGAAAGTTTAAACTGTCCATAACTACTGCAGGTCCATTCAATTGCCAAGGCAAGCTCCTCAGTCACCAAGAATAAGAAAACTTTTCAGCCCAAGGGGATGTCACACAGACACTAAATTTTTAACATTACTGAAAAAGTTAGACAGCAGCATGGGTTGGATTATATAGCAAAAATCTAACAAGTGATATGCAAACATCCTGGTAATCCAAAATGACAGGAAAGAAAATATACAAAATGCCTACGATAATTTGATATGGTTTTAGATAAAATACTTATTTAAAATGTTAGACAGTGGTTCCTTAAGAGTTTATTAAATTCTACATATCAAATAAATCTCATTGGACTTTTACGTAATTAAATTCTACATGCCAAGTCATCATCTAAATGCCAGTTTTACTAAACAAAACTATTACAACTTTAATTTGATGAAACACTACACACAGGATCTTTTCACCTGCCAAAATAAATTTTATAAGCACATGTCAATGAAACCATAAACAATTCACATCAAATCACTGAACAGAGTTTTGGCAACTCTCTGGAAATATCCCTCCCATTCTCTTTTTTAGGTAATGGTATAGAATACTCCAAAATTCCTCAATACTTACGAGGAAGAAAGACAACACAAAGTTAGCCTTTCCTTTGTCTAACCAAGATCACAGTTTTAACATGAATCACCACCAAACAAAATTCTTTAAAAAGGCATAACGGAGCTTACTCTGTACCCCTAAACACTGTTTAGGAGTCAGATACAATAACATTTAACTGCTTCTGTAAACTGGTTAGGAATACTCACTTCTAATAAACTCTTACTTTTAGAAATTGTGTATTTTTACAGTGTTCTTAATCAAATAGGACCCTATACATTATAGAGATTTAAAATAAAGCAAGAACCATACACACAGTTCACACTATCCATCACTGAAATACAGCAACCCATGGTGGAACGAATACCACAAGAGAGCATACCGTTACAACATCTGAGAACAGGAGCAAAACAAGAATTAAAATTCACTCTCCAAACTGAATTGGTTAAAGTAGGAAAAACAAAACTTGTCAGATCAGAATCTAGACAGAGAGATCTTGAATAACCACACAAAAAAATCAGAAACTTGATATGACGACTCACCCAAAAAACTCTTCAAATTGCACTCTAGCACCATCTGTTCATTCTGGACTCAAGGAAAGACAGTAGCTATCACCTTCTACAGGTCAGTTTTACCTTCAAAAGCCACCAGCAGCCTTCACTTCCCCTCACACAAACAGCAGCTCTTTTCGGATCATTATTCACGCACCCCACCCCAGCTCCTGGGGGCAGAAGCACCTCCCAGGGACCTGAGCAGTATCTCTAGGAAAGCCCCCAGGACAGAAAATGCCACCATGAGTCACTTCAGGCACTGGTGCTTGAAGTAGGGGTGCTGCAGCACCCTCTGGCTTGAAGTGTTTCCACTATAGGCAGGGCTTGCAGTTTGGTTCAATAGCTCTAAAAAAAATCAAAAAAAAAAAAAAAAAAAAAAAAAAAAAACCCCACTACACCAGTTGTTCCGTGGCTGCAGGAAATTTCCTCCCAGGTAAGGGAGTGGGAAGAAGAGGAAGAAGAAACTCTCCAAGGGAACGGGACACCCTCTGCAGCTTGCCGGGGCCATTCAAGGGGCCCGAACACACTGTGTGCCCAGACCCATTCCCCACACCTCCCTGCCAGGCTCACCTCCAGGCGCAGCGTGGCGCCGCAGCCGCGCAGGAACTCGCGGATGTTGCTCAGACACTCGCTCTCGGTCCGGGGCTCCGGATAAACCTGCAAGAGAAGAGGCGCCGGGTGAGGGGGCTGCGCTGCGCGGGGGGCCCGGGCTGCCCCTACTCCCCCCGCGGCTCCCTCCACAGGCTGCGCTGGGGCCGTGCAGGGGCTTTGACCCGGGAAGTAAACACGGAGCCAGGAAATCACGTGCGGGCCGGGGAGGAGCCGGGGAAAGTGCCGGGCCTGCCCCCATCGGTGCGCGGCACCGGCTGCTGCCCCCGGGGCGCGAACACCCCGCCCGGAGCAAGGCGCGGGCCGCCGGGGCACTGCAGCGCGCCCGGGTGCGGTGGCCAGGATGAGTGAGGAGCCCGGGGGCAAGTGCGCTGCCGTGGGCGCCTTCACCTAATGGCCGCACTCCGCGTGCAGCACCGTCAGGGGCCGAGCCAGCCAAAGCCCAGCCCCGCTGTCGGGGGAGGGAGAGCTCCTGCCTCCCACGCGTGCATCCAGGAGCACACTTTTCTGCCCTTGTAAAAAGCACTGCCTTTCCCTGAGCCCCGTGGGAAGAAGTCCAGTCTCAGGCAAGAGACTCGGTGCAGCGCAACTACCTGTGATAGGGCATCTTTCAAACACACTGAATCATGAAATGCAGCCAGGCTGCTCGGCGCTTCGCCCAGCATTATCACTTATTTGCATTACAGTTAGGGTTGCCAGATGGTTTCAACAAAAAATACCAGACACACTTGACCTTACATCACACTCTACATTACATCTTATTTAGAAAATACCGGACATTTATATTTCCTCGTTTATATTTTCTCAATTTGTTTCCAGAACAGAAAACTCAAATACTGGACTGTTCAGTTCAAAACCAGACATCTGGCAACCCGAATTACAGTTGTGCCCAGGCAGCACCCAGATGGGAGGCCCTGTACTAACACCATACAGTGTAAGAGAGGGGACTTGCCCACCAAAGACAGCAATCCTGCTGTCTGGAGATTTCAGACAGGCAAAGGCCCATTAAGTTTAATGTGAGTCCCCTCTGAAATCAAAGGAGTCCATACAAGTGTAGCAGTCTGGCCACTTGGATGAGATTATAGGACTGCTGCCTAAATTGAGATACAAATGGGTATAACAAATGGAGCAATTGATGACAAGAGTAACAGTGATAGAAAGGTGTGCCCACAAAATAAATTTGCAAGACTGCTACCGTTTTCTATATCAGCAGATAAAAATCCAGTGCAATGGATGAGCCTTACCCTGGGAAAACCACCTTTGAGATAATGGTATCTCCCCTGCCAGGTAAGTATGCAGAGGGCTTGGCGCCATACAAGAATTGTCCCCTGGATTATAAAAAAAATTAAGTCATCTATGCAGGTCATGCATGCTTATGGCACGATAGACACAAATACAATAATCTACAATATTTGGGGGTTCAATTAGAACAGGACTGGGGACCCTTTTTGAGGTTAGAGACAACACAGAAGTGAGAAGCAAAAAAAAGCCCCAACCCCTCACAGACGTGGCCCCTGGCTGAGAACAAAAAAACGCCCCCCACATTCTCCCCATGGGAGCTCAGACTAGTAGATTTTGTGTGCTCCAGCCCCACTGTTGGGGGAGACGGGAGGACTGGGTGCCAGTGCAGGCTCCCAAATGCCTGGGGGGAAGACCTGAGTCTCAGGGGCCAGATCTAGGCAAGCCAGGGGCCTCATCCAGCCCCTGGACCTGAGGGTCCACACCCCAGCCTTAGAATATTTAACTCCTGAAATCCTGACATCAAGTTCTTTTGGGGGCAGAGGTTGTACCTTTTGTATAATGCCAAGGACATTTTGGGCTCTGTGATAATATACATAAAAATCAGTGAAAAGGAATGACTTGCTTGAATCAGGAAAACTGGAATGATTAGAAATAGTTAGTCACCATGAGCTTCCAGATTTAAAGTTTAGGTTGTAGCAAAGACAACCGCCAACTGGGGAAAGGTCATAAAAATCAATGCTAATACCTTTAAATCAAGATCCAAATGACATCAAGCAGGCAGAACTTAGGTTTAAACCAAGTGTTACATCTTTAGTGAATCCTATGGCTAAACTTCAGTGTTCTAAGTCTTGCCCTTAAAGATCTTTAAAATGTAGGATCTGTAAAAAGTTCAGAAAGGGCAAACTCTTGCTAAATACTCTTCTAGTCATGATTGTCTGCTTAATGATTTTGCTTTCATGTTTGCTTGCCTTTAGGGTTTTGGTGTTTCTGTATTATATTCACTGAGTATACCCTATTGAATATCAAAAATATTTAAAAACAAGAAAATTTTCATAACTGAGAGTACACTGATCACGAACTTCAGCATGTAAGTCTCTGGGAAAAGAAACAAGCGTAAAAGAAAATGCCTGGAAAAGTCATTAAGTTCATCCCTGTTGTATCAGTGGACTTTTTTTTTATTATACTTGCTAATTAACTTATGCCTAATTTACTTTGATAATTCTAACAACAGTGCTTCAAACTCCTTTAGCAAATTATTCCATCATCCAATTAAACACGTAGTTAGAATATGTTCCCTAAAATCTAATTTAACTTTTCCCCTTTCTCTCCTCTGCCTATGCTCTTTATTCTGCAATGTGAAATATTTTCTTCTCCATGTTATCTTTCAAATATTGATAATATGATCATATCTCCTTTTTGTCTTTTCTTTAGATATATAAACACTGAATTCTCTTAATCTCTCTTCATAGTTTATATTTTCTAATCCCTTTGTCATTTCTTACATCCTCCTTTACAATCTCAATTGCAAGATCTCTTTTCATAGTAAGGAACTCCCAAAACTATGCACAGTGCAAAAATAAGAATGACATGTATAAATCCAAGTTTCTCTCATAAGAAACAAATTCCTTGTCCACCAAGTAATTCTTGTCTTGAAGCACAACCAGGATTATCTCAAAACAAATTCCTTGTCCACCAAGTAATTCTTGTGGCACAACCAGGATTATCTCTTTAATAAGCAATAATCCTTATTCCTAAAGCCCTCAACTACATAAACACAAGATTCAGATATGTTAAAAATCAAGCCAGCATAGCTGCCCCAAGTGATAGATATTTTGTGACATGCTTTATGAAAATTGGCTTATGGATATAAATATGCACAACTTGGAGATGCTTTGGACAAAATACTTCATATAACACATCAATCTTAATGTTACAATCTGCTGGATCTGTAGCTCCGATTTTGGTGCATGTATCGTTCTTGTATGTGAAGTTACAAATATGAAGTATGAGACTGTTTATAGTTGTAAAGATGTTAATGAAAGCCATTACTGGTTCTCATCTCCCCTTCCTCCCCGCCCCCCCTTAACGACTTGATGATGAACTTATAAAAAGCCTTGTTTGTCCTTTAAGTCTAGAAGGTAGTTGGTCCTAGGAAAACATGCGACCATACCACCTGGTACCAGTATCCATTTCTGAATATTTTTTTCACCAACGCAGTGGGGGTGCAAAACAAAGGATTCCCTCCCTGGGGAAGATTCTATTTAAGCAATGGGAAGCTATCAGCCCTTGATCTTCAGCTCGCCTGAAAAACAGCCTCGTACATTCTAAAATGATAGAAAGAGGGCTGGAGGCCCAAATCATAGTGAAAAAGTTTCTCTGACTTGAAGAACAGCTCTTTAGGGTAAGAATCTGCTTGCAATAAGTTTCTTAGTGGATTAGAACTAGCTATGAATTTTCTATTCATTTTAATTTAATACCTTGGAACCACTTAAATCCTACTTAATAAAAACACTTCTGTTTAATATCAGGCCCAATGTAAATAATTGTCACACCTGAGGGAAGCAAACATTGTACATCTCTCTCTTTTATTGCTAAACTAAGCTTACCTGATGAGTTTTCACTGAGCAAAACTTTTACAGAGAAAAATGTCTCAGGGGGTAGCTGTGTTAGTCTGTAACTTTAAAAACAATTAACAGTCCTGTGGCACCTTAGAGACTAACAAATATATATATAGTATCATGAGCTTTTGTGGGCAAAAGAAGGGGGATTGGCTATGAAAGCTCATGATAGTATATATATTTTTGTTAGCCTCCAAGGGTGCACATACCCTAAACTCAAAAACTTATTTTGAATCTATTTTGAAATAGCTTATTTTGAAATTTGGCACATCTACACAGCACCAAATTTCAAAATAGTGCACTATTTCAAGCCATTCCTTATCCCTTGTGCAATGAGGTTTACTGGGACTGTGAAATAGCATGCCCATTATTTCAAAATAGCAGGTGGCTTGTGTAGATGCAGATAGTTCAATGAGTTTATTTCACATGTCAAACTGTTCATATAAATGTTTCTACTTGTTTTCAGCAAAAAATTGATTATTTGGGGGGATTTTAGTCCCATTTGGAGGTTGGTTACCTGGATGCTGTGCCCCAGAACTGCATCCTCCCAGAGATGAAGTGGTTCAGTGTCTGCATTGCTCTGCAGGGGGTGGTTACCTCAACTCTGTGGCTTCTCTGGGAGAAATCAGAGGATCTGGTCTGACTCCAACAGGATGTGGTGGTGGGGAGCCCCAGAGAGCAAGAAGAAAGATGTCAGTGCAATGATAAGCACACAGGGGAACAATCCCAACAAGGACTTCTGTGGCCACAACCTGGTCACAATTGTCTCATAGGTGGCAGCAATATCTGGTAACAGGACAAACAAAGAGTTCACAAAGGATACCATCAAATGTGACAAGAGGGAGAAAACTGCCAATCAAGACTTTGAAAAAGTGGCAACGAATTCCCATCCACGTCAAGAAGTTTAAACATTGGTCATGTTGCATTTTTAAAATGTTTTGAAACTTGCCCAGAAGTATCAACACTGTCAAAATCAGGCAACTCTCATCTTTTGAGGGAAGCACAGTTGTGGGCTAGAAAGTCAGTTAGCAAATTCTGGCAAATCTTTAGAAAGATAGTTCATATATAAAAGTTTATATAAACTGTTTCTAAGTCATTTGTGGAAGAAGATTGCAAGGATGTTTGCAGAATTTTAAGAATTTCCAGGGTAATATCTGGCAGGGTGTGTTTGTGGCGGGGGGGAGGGAGATATATATATAAACTACCTTTCTAAAGATTTGAACCACTTCATCTCTGGGAGGATGCAGTTCTGGGGCACAGCATCCAGGTAACCAACCTCCAAATGGGACTAAAATCCCCCCAAATAATCAATTTTTTGCTGAAAACAAGTAGAAACGTTTATATGAACAGTTTGACATGTGAAATAAACTCATTGAACTGTAGATATAATTTCAAA